TTCTTCTCATCTGTTATTGAAAACAGTATCTTGCATTTGGATTGCACCTGGTCTTGTTTGGCAGTTTTTAAGCCAGTTGCTTTTTTGCCTAGTGGCATAAAGCCCCTCAAAAACTCAATATTAAACTGATTTCTAGAATGCAGCCTTAAAAATCCAACAAGCACTAGGCTTCTGTTTATGTGCATTAATCAATGCTGTTTGAAATGAGTATGTGGTTAGTAAAGCTGATTGGTAGCATAATTATTAATGTGTGTATTTTGATTTTTGTTTTCATAGGCTTCAAACAGTGCTTCGTATATCCAAGATGCCTTCCAGCTCTTGCTGCCTGTGCTGCAGATCTCTCTTATTGAGGCTAGAACGGAACTATCACAGCAATAAAATCCTTCTAATTAAGAACTTTTCGACCTTCCCACTTTGTAGTTTCCATGCTGGAGAATGATGTAACGACTGTTATTAAAGGGAAAAAGATTAACTCTGATCGCTGCTACTGCAAGAACGGTGATTAAATGCAGTCTGGCAATGACAGCTCTTACAGCACATTGTGAGATGTGATTAGCGTAGTCCAGGCTGGTGGACAACGTGACAGACTTAAAGTGCAGATTGCTTCTCTGTTTTCATGGACTGTCTGTATCTTTTCACGGAAATCCCTCTGCTGTATATGTTAACAAGCTCTTTGGAGAAGCTCTCTGGACTGTGAAGACAATGCTGGAGCAAAGATTAGCAGCTGGATAGTTAGAGTTAGCTAAAATCATGGTGTGATTTTTAAGTCAGAGAGACATAGTTAGGTTCCTGATAGCTCTGCATTGGTGTTAAAGTGAATATTGGATAGGAGGTGCAAGAAAAGGCGAATATTTATTACTATGAACCCTGCAGTTCCTAGGCTGGAAAGAATAGAGCGGAGAGGATTCCTTATCGAGCCGTTGTTGCTGAAGAGAAGCCCCGGCTTCCTGAAGATGTCTGTTAATGACTCAGGGATGTGGGACGGGGACTCTCACTAGGGTGCTGTTTCTCATTCTCTTGCAGAGTGCTTGCTTCAGCACGAGCTGGGAAAATGCTGATCTGGCCCTAAGAATGTGGGTACTTTTCTTTATAGCAATAAATGAGAACTGGCTAAAAGGAATTTGTTCGTGTTCGGGCAATTTAATGAGAGAATTTAGCAGGAGGACTCCCCTTTTTCAGTGCAGCTTGACATGTCAGCCACAGACTGTTCACAAACTCAGATACTGCTTTTCTCCTGTTTCTGTGTAAAAAACACTACAATGCAATGCTCCTTCTTCTTGGAAGGTATATTAAAGTGGGGGGAGAGGAAGCAATTTGGTTCTGTTAGCGGGAGTCCTAATCTGTCTCAGAAGCTGCTCCACATATGGTATCTGTTTCTTTGTGCTGTGAAAGTTCCCTGCTTTGTTCCTTTCTGCAATTTCTATCTTTTGAGCCTGCCCATGGGGAGGGAGCAGCCTCTGTTGGAATCACAAGAGCAGAAATGCACAGCTAAAATGGAACTTCAAGAAGTCCAGAATAGCTAACCAGAGGTGACTGACTGTCACACCTGCCTCTCGACTTGCCCATTGGTAACAATGATGCTCAAATCCCATTTTGAAAATCCTCTGGGTTTTAGCAGGTCTAGCACATTTCTGCTATACTGAAGGCTTAACATTCCTCTGTCGTATTTGTGCAGTAGAGAATTGTCTTTATTACTTACATTGTCTTTATTACTTACATGACTTTATTACATTACTTTTTGGCTAATGTTCCTCTGATTTTATATGTTTGGAAAAAGGCTAACCAGTCCTGGTTAGACTGGTCAGATCTCTAAAGGGAGAGCATTTTTGCATCTTAAAGAAAACTAGACTTGAAAGGAGTGTGTCTGGGCTAAAAAAATCTGCACTACAATAAACTATACTTTTTTTTTTCTTCTTTATGTTGATAGCATTATTAAAGAAAGGATTTGTTTTGACAACCGTTTCAGTTAAGAGCTATCAAGATAGCAATGGGCACGAATGAAATGAGAAGAAAGAACTGCATCTTTTTTTCTTCTCAGCCCTGACTCTGGTTTGTGGGGCAGGGCTGGGAGCTGCTGTGGGGCCGGGACAGCTGGGGCATTTCTCATGGCAGGGCACCGTCTCATAGGAAAGAGGGCTCTGAACCCCGGCTGGGGAGTGAGGGCTCCCACAGCCGAGCTCCCAATTCCTGCATCAGTGCAAAATGGCAGCTTTGCTCCTGCCGCAAAGCCAAAATTTACAGAAATGTCAGAAGAGAAGAAATAAAGATAACGGGGTTTTATGAAGCAGTAGCTGCTTTTCTTGCAGATAAATTCTACTGACCTGCAGTGCTTTGGTGTAGAGTAGTTTAATAATTAAAGGAAATGAGGTGATTTTTTTTTTTTAAATGCAGATGGTAATTCTTTCAGTCATATGCCCACCTGGATTTTTTTATAGCAGCCAATAATCAGCTGTGCACCAGCTTCACTTGTGTGCCAGTGCAAGGACTGCAATAAATAGCCAACAAGAACAGCTCCACAGTTGCTGAAACCTTCCTACCCAAAGGAGTCATCAGAATTCAGCATCCAACTGTCTGGAGGTCTTATTGCTCTGCCTTGCCTTGCGCATGAGCCTAATGAGAGCTGGCAGTAATTTGAGCACTTCTGGTAGTGTTTGGGGAGGTGAGAGGTGGCTGAGAATAGATAAGAGTTAGCTAAGATGCTGGCAGTGACTTGGAGGGGGGAAAAAAAAAGCTTCCACAATGATTTTCTTTCCTTGGGAGAGTTTCTGTTACTTGCAGCTGTAAAAGCTGCTTCCTGGCAGCTGCTGTGGAAAGGTTTAAAACGTAAAAGGCTCGGTCCATCCCGATGGGCTTTGGGACTTGCTCCTAGCCCTTGCCCAGCCAGCTTCCCAGGGACTCATTTTTCATTATTAAAACACGCACGTTCAGTAGCAGCAAAACCTCTGACACAGGCGGGATGAGCAGTTGTCCTCGTTTGGAAGAAGCAGCAACAGCTGGTCACCACTGGTGGCCCCGAGCAAGGGGACAGCTGTCCCAGGTCACCCGCAGCACAAATTAAACGGCCTGACTCCGAGGCAGGAAGGGGAAGAGAGCTCTGGCATTTGTTTCCCCGGTGTGCATGCTGGGTCCTAAATAAACAGTGGTCTACGATGGTGTGATTTAAGCAGAGAGATTGGTCTTCTGTAGCCAAAGGCTCCTTAGCACAGAAATGAAGGACATAAGTGCCCAGTACTGTGCTAATTAATGTTTTCTGGGAGTGTTGCTAGTCCCTCGCAACTCTGCACATTGATAGCAGCGCAGAGGTGGCCATGCGCTGGTGTTTCGGGTGCTGGCTGGCAGGTTGCTTTCCTTCCTTCAGGGGCAGCTTTGTGCCCGCTGCAGGGTGAGAGCAGAGCCCATGCAGTTTGCGGGCTGGGACCTGGAAGTAGCTGCGGCTGCCACCCTCCGCTGCCCTGCTGGGTGGTGGCAGCCACCCGGGTGCTGTAAGATGCTGCTGACTGCAGCCTGGCCCAATGGCCGGGGCAGTCCCTGAGAGCTGGTTAGCTGGGATGATGCTTTGTGTCCCCGTGTCCAGGGAGCGATGGCAGGGCTGTCCCCTGGGCTGCTCTAACTGGAGGATGCTGCAGGTTTAGGTCCCTCATATCAGAGTACTGAGAGCCCGGCTGGGGCTGGCAGGGAGCTAGCAATGACGTCCCCAGTTAGAAATAAGATCGAACGTGGTGTTTGGGGGGGAGGATCCTCATAAGGTGGCAGGAGCTGCTCAGAGGAGTGGGGTTGGATGCCAGCTGGTCCCGACACCAAACAGCCTCCCTGGATCTGTTCCAGGCTCCCGCACTGGGCTCCCTGAGCACGTCTCCACCGAGCTCCTGCACTGTACCCTGGCTGCATCGACCTGGCGGCTGCATCGCGCCAGGACAGATGGGATTGCTGCTATCATTTACCCCAAGACTGAGTGCTGGTCACTGGGAGTTCCCTGAACGATTCGTGCATGAGCTGAAGCATCTCTGCTAGAAAGCACCACCACTATTGATTGTAAAATTGGCAGCAACAGGGACTCTGCCACCAGCTTTGTTGAGCTGCTCCAGGGTTTATCCATCCTTGCTGTTAAAACCCACCCCTTATTTCTGATCTAAACCTGCCGAGGGAACTCTTGCTCTGCATTTGGGGCTGGGGCAGACATGGCCAGGTTTTTGGGAGAGTGACTTAATGCAGGGAGCAAGCAGCTGTGTAGGAGTTACCCAGGGTTAGTCTCACCCGGTGGGAGGGGGCTCCATACGTGCTGCAATTACTGTAAATTAAAGTAAAAAGGCTGTGGGAACAACTTTGTTGTAGAGTTGAAGGCTTTAAATGGGGCAAATCTTGCAGGAGAGGTAATACCTTTTATTAGGTGAAGAAAACAAATTAGCTTTCAGGTACACAAGCCCTTCTTGACATTGTTGTTACCTGTTATTATCCCATATTGGTGCTATTAGAAATGAGGGCATTGCGTTAGAGGGGAAGCATGTTATGCAAGTGTTTAGACCTGCTGGTAACTGCTCTCTGCTGACAGGTATTTGCTTAATGATATGTTGGAGTGAAAGCCAGCAGCAAGGACAAGCATCAGAGGGAGCTGGCAGTGCTGAGCTCTGCCTGGTCTGGACCTCCTGTAGCAGCCTGACACCTCCCACCAAGAGGGGAGCAAGGACCTGCTGGAGGTTCCTCCCACTGTGGTTTTAAGGACACTCCCAGATCCCCTCTTCTCTGCTTCAGACAGGGTCCTGGCCATAGCACATTCCCAGATTGAGTCCCCGGTGCCCCCACTGGTCCTGGGGCTGGTCCCTGTGGATGTCTGCAGCCTCCAGAGCTGCCCTGGCTTGCTTGCAAAGGGTCAGGAGGTCTTTCTGCTCCTGCCCACGCTGGAGGCAATGTCTGTGAGCCTCTTGCAGGTACAAATGGGACTGGTCATGTTCCCCGTGTCATATGCTGCCTGTGGCGGGTGGCAGAGCCAGTTTTTCTGCTCTGAAAGTGGGACTGGGGAGGAGACCGCAACACTCAAATACCCAGATCCCTGGGAGCTGCCAGCCAGGTGTTGAGGAGACCGCTTGCCTTTTTCAGCTCCAGGTAAGGTGCTTTCCTGTCTCCCTCATGTCATCGAGAGGATTTACAGAGTCACTTATCAATTTTACGAGCTGGAGAAGCAGAGGGGGAGGGCAGGGTGAAGCAGAGCGTGCAGAAGGAGCATCCCTGGGTTGGCTCACATTCTGTGCGGTCTTGGGGATGGGAATCGGGCATCGTGCCTGAGCCTCGTGGGAAGGACTTCAGTCTTCTGGGTGAGACGGGAGCAGGCACAAATACTGTGACATGTAAGCCCATTGTGCCTGGGGGGTAAGGCCGTCTGAGCTATTGCACCTGGTGGGGTATGAATACGCAGGTTTGCTTCGTTAGCCAGAGATCTGATCCATGTGCACCTCATGCTTCGCTCGGCTGTGGAGAACAATTGCAAATTGTCAGTGAGGACCATAGAGCTGGTGGCGGGGCTTTGCTGGTTTGACTGCCCGGGCTTTAGGGAACCAGCTCATCTGGGGCAAGGAGACCTGCCTGCCCGAAATGCCGGGTGGCTGAGGCTCCGAAGGAACAGGCAGAACTGGATCTACTGGTCTGTGACGGGGGGCGGGGAGGGAAGAGCTGAGCGTGGCCAGCCATCACCTGAGCCACCACCTAAGGCAGAGGCTGCACAGGGCGATGGGTGGCATCCCCCAGACAGGAGCACAGCAGAGTCTCGGGGTGGGGGAGCCCACCCCATCGCTTGGAAATTGGTTAGGTTGGTTCCCAGGGACAGGGTTAGCAGTGCCGTGGGGAATTAAAGGGTTGTAACCCCCCCCCGGTGGCATTTCTTAGCATGCGCGGGGGAAGCACTACCCCTTCCCAGCCCTGGCTGCTGGGCTTTGGTCTGGTTGCCCATCTCTTAGTGCAAAGTTTGAGGTCCATCTCTGTGTACCTCTGTGTACCTTGTGCCTTTCCTATCTGCTCACCCCCCGGCAGTGAAGGCACAAGGCAGGGACACCCCCTGCGGATTTGGGGCTGGGCACATGCCACAGGAGCTGCGGAGCAGCTTTGGTGCATACGACCTGGGGTCAGGGCATAAGCTACACCTTCTGCACCTTCCCAGGGGCTGCCTTTTTTTTTATTAATGTTTGATTATTTTTAATGATTTTAGATTAAAATGTAACTATTTTCAATTAGTAGATGCACTTCTTAATTACGGAGATGAATTAGATTACCGTTCATTATTAATTAGATTTTAACTTTGCACTGATTACGCCTTTTATCAGCCACTTCCCTCACTCCTGCCCTCCCCGTCCAACCTGCCTCTCCCCCGATGCCGCCCCAAACCCCACTGCTTCCCGCTGCCCTGCAGCATCCCAGGGGTTTTAAAACCTATCTAGAAAATACAAATCAATGTTACTGGCTCAGAGGCTGCGACCGGCTCTTTTAAAAGCCCAAATACCAACCAGATGATGTCATTTTGTGGCTAAAAAAAAACATTAAAAGAAAGCATTCATATCCTGCCTCCCTCCATCAGCGGCTGGAAGAGAAACTGTTTCCTAATTACCTGCTGCGGCAGGGGAACGACCTGCTCTTCCCTGCGAGCAGAAGGGACGCGGTCCCTTGCCCCTGCTGCCTCCCCTCTGCCCTGTTTTGCCGTTTGTGTATGAGAGGGAGGGTTTGACCTGCCTGGGCTATTTCATGGACTTTGTTCGGTCCTGCTATTTTTAAAGCAAGCTCTCTTTCTTTTCTTTTCATCTGTCACCTTTCAGACACCTAATCAATGCTCGCAGTTTTCTTGCTGTTGCTCTCGGCTTCTCTTCTGCTCGCTGCTGTCTCCGTCTCCCTCCCTGCCATCGCCCTGTCCCTGGGGGAGGTCTCATTTGTGCCGGGGCTTCCTAGGAGCCCCAGCGCCTGCTCTCTATTGATTCATCCTCATTTAATTTTAAATATTTCTGTAATTTGCACCTGCTCACAGGGGGGTTAAGGTATGTCCCTGCACATTTGCCCTGAGATTTCTCTCTCTGGCTCCGTCACTCTTGCCTTTCTGCTTCCCCAGGCGGGGGGCAGTGGGTGCTGCCCAGATGGGCACAAGGTCTGATCCTTTTTTTTCTGGAGGCCACAGACTGCTTTACTCCTTTCCCTGCTGTTTTGGGGGGAAGTGTACAGGGCCCCTTCTCCCATGGAGAAGAGAAAACTGAATGGTGGGGTCCAGGGAGGTGTTTTCATCCCTGAAAAGCTCACCTTACTCCACCCTCCAGTTGCTCCTTCATGTCCTCTCTGTGCCATAGGTGTGACGGTCTCGTGCCCCAGAGCCCTCCGGCTGCGGTGAAATGTCGACAATCCGGAAATGTGAGTGTTTGGTGTGAACCCAGGGGGACCTGCTGGGTTTGTGTGTGCTGGATGCTGCATGCTGGCAAAGAACCTTCCTCTGTGCCCTGTTGTAGGGTTTGGACGGGAAGATAAGGAGAGAGAGGAGAAGGAAAAGGACAAGGAAGAAGTAAAGGAAGAAGAGGAGAAGGAAAAGACCGAGGAAGAAAAAGAGGAGGAGAAGAAGAAGAGGAAGAAGGAGGAGGAAGAGGAAAAGGTAGGGGAATGATGGAGTTTTCTGCAGATCAGCTG